CCTACATTAATTTCAAAATATTATTCTGGATGTTTAGTGACAAACTCATTATTACTATACGGAATTAATGGAGCCACATGTGACATCAAAATATAAAATTTATTAATTGACAGAACATATAAAAGTATGAAATGCTTACCTCGAACCAGCGTAGCTCACTTTGCAACTGCAGAGCTGCGCCTGAGATGTAATCAAGGTGAGAACGAGGAGCTAACTTTGCTGCTATATGTAATAAATTGTTTCCATCTCGATCCTCGGTAAAACCTATATTTGTACTAATTCTTGCATTAAATTTATAAAGAAATTGTGCCACTTCCTCTTGACGATGTGCTACAGCACATGCAAACATGTTCCTTCCATCTTCAGGATCAGTACGGTTCCATAATATATTCGTAATTTTTGCAATTTCAATTGCAATCTCAGGGATGCCATTCTTGATAGCTTGAAAGGTTGCTTCCACGGCTCCACTTCGCACAAATTCATCCTCATCCAAAGCTGATAATTTTCGACATATAAAATCTAAAATCTCACGGGCAATTGCATCCATCAACTTTAAATCATCTATTTTCGTTACTGTTGAAAAAAAAATATTTTGCTTCAATTCTACTAATAAGAATCAAGAACAAAAGGCCGAAAAATTTAAAAAGAAGAGAATCAATAACAAAAGCTTATTAGGAAAAGGAGAAAACCAAAAAGAAAAAGAAAAGGACTCATTTGATGGACATTATTGCTTTCCAAGAATTTTGGATATTGAAATCAGTGTCTCTATCAGGAATGAGTTATATTCATAATATTTTATTTTTAAAAGAAGTTATTTCATTGGTATAATAAATGATTGTCTTTCTATTTAGCCAATAATCTCTACAGAAGTTATTAGTCAGAAAAAGGAAAGAAAACTTGTAACTACTATACCTCTTCGTTGAGCTGCAACACTGCCAACACCATCAGATGGAACACTTCCATCAGATAGAACACTTCCTTTATCCACCTTCACTCTTGTACCTTCAGTTACAATACAATAAAAAAAAAAAGCATTTAATACACTAAACAATTCAGAAAAACATATTGGAAAACAAAGAAAGATGGCATGCACAACATCCCAAAATACTCTATTTTTTAACCGAAAAATATATTAAAAGAGAAATTATGTTAAAAATTAAAGAGATAAAAGATAAGTGATACTAACAGTTATATATCAGTCGTCTCCAAAATGATAGCTGATTTTCTCTAAAGAACGGTGGCTGTGTTTGAGCAAGAGTTGAAATGATCGGTTTGGTATCCTTCTTAAAGATTTTATATATTGCAAACTTTGGAAAGTGATGGAGGAGATCAAGTGCAATATCTGATACATGTCAAATTAAGTTAATTTGGTAGACAAAAATGAAATAACAAAATTATAGAAAGAGAACATGAATGTTAGAGCTCCTACGAAACATTTTCTTAGTTATGCACTCTTCGAGGAGGTAGAAAACATGGTCTCTATTCGGACATTCTTGCTGCAGGGTTTTGCAGTAGAGGTAGCGAGTCATGTCCTCATGGCCTGCCCTGCACGCCAATTGAACCGGGAGCATTTTGTCGCCATTTGCGATAGTAAGCAAGTCCTTGTTCTGTTCAATCAAGCATTCTGCAATTTCCATCA